ATGCTTGAGCAGTGCACTATTTGCAGCCAAAGAATCAACTATAGCAGAAACAGCTCCATCCCCACCATGATTCCGTAGTGCAAAAAGAGCACCGTAGCGTTCATACATGCCTCTTTTTTCATCCAGAAGAAATCCCCTGAAAAGTCGATTGAGTTCGGTCAGCAATCTAACCAAATATAGTACGTATGGAAAAGGTTCTAATCCATAAACAAAATACCTCAGCTCATCAACAGAAGAGCTTAAAGAAGATGGTGCGGCTGGGTCAACAGACAGGAAGGGTGATTTTTCAGCCACAGATGTTCCATCAACAGTGCTTGTCGTAGCATTCATTTCCTCAATTCGCTTGAGAGCCAGTTCACAAGTTTCTCTAACCTCCTGAGCCGGATCACCAGTCAAGCTATTCTTCAAAAGAGGTACAATACTCTCTAAACCAATGGCACCAAGAGCTTCAGCAGCCTGTAAATATAACAGCGAAAACAACATAGAACAAATCAGTACCATCAACAATATAACAAAGAAAAAAAAACATGCTACACATTGATGTTAACACACCTCATGGCGAACAATAGGATGCAAAGAAAGATCATTTAGAACTGCTTCAAGAGCAGGGATAGCTTCAGCATCTTGCATTTGACCCAACGCAAATGCAGCTTCATGTGCCAGCAAATTTGAAGAATCCCTTGTTGCTGAAGATGCAAGTAAAAAAGAAGAAAAACTCCAGATTTAGACAGAAAATTTATCAGCAAGTTCACAAGTTGAAATTATCAAACTTTCTCGCCCATAATTTATTCCGCCCATCACTCATACATTATCAAGTAGCAAGGGAGAACCAATTTATGCATAATCTACACACACACGCACAAACATAGAGTTCAACTAGAAAAACAAGGACAGTAACTTTCTTTCGTCGAGCAATTTTTGAGCAAAACGAAGCCACCTAAACAATGACACGCTCCAAGAAATCAAATTCCATAATCAGATGTTTTCTTCCAACATAAATCAACAAAATTTGTTTCCAGAAAGCCCAACCAAGTGACTCATAAGACACCTTTCAATGGTTAACTAAGCATCAAAATCCGAAACAAAGGTAAAATTAATAAAAAAAAACAAGAGGGAGAGAGAGGAACCGTGAATGAGGGCGTTGCGGGGTCCAGGGCCCTTGAGGTTACGGAGAGAGAAGAGAGCTCTAAAGCGCTCGTGTATAGGCTGGCTCTGGTCAAGCAACCGATCAAAAAGAAATTGTTCCAAGTTGGACCGCGAATCTGTTGGGATGGTTGCTTTCAAGGAACCCATGAGATAGCGGTGGTGCTAAGCGGCTGTTCTGGAGTTGTCTTTGTTGCAGTGGCACCACAAAGCCACGCAGAATTACAAGAATCCGCTGCTAATTCTTTTGCAAGCTTGTAAAAATACGGTGTGTTTATATATATGTAAACACACCGTATTTTGCTTGGTTATATATATATATATTTAAGTTGCTTGGGCCCTTGTAATTAGTGACACTAGTGAGACCGTTTGTTTATGAGATGGCGTTTGTGTTTAAAGCAAAATGCAGGAGTCAAATACAAAAATAAAACCTTATTGAAGAGGGAGATCACCGGTGCCGTCCTCATGCAGTACTACAACATTTTTTTAAAATTTTTACATGTTTTATAATTTATTTTAATTTATTTTTTATAAAATTATATTGTTATTTAAATAGTAGATTTTACAAGTTAATTCAATTTTCTTAACTTTTTTTTATATTTTTAATTAAGTTTTTTAAAATTTTATTTTTCAATAATTAGATTGATTGTAAATTAAATTTTATAATTTATTTTGATTTATATTTTATAAGATTATTTCATTCTTATGATAGTAGTCGAGAGTTTGGTAAGTAAACTCAGTATTTTTTTTGTTTTTTTAATTAATTTTTTAAATTTTATCATTTAATATTAGATTGATTAGAAATTAAAATTTATAATTTATTATAATTTATTTTTTATTGAATTATTCATGTCTCGTAATCTAGATTTAGAAGGTTAAATCAGGTTGATTTAGATTTTTTTTTATTTTTAATTAATTTTTTCAACTTCATTCTTTGATACTTGGTTAATTAAAAATTAAATTTTAATATATATTTTTATTTATTTTCTATGAAGTTATCACAATCACACGACAAAGATTATAAATTTTAAATATTAACTCAGACTAAACCAAGTTAATTAACATGTCGTCTTCTTAATATTTTTTTTAAAAAAATATTATTTTAATTATTTTTAATCAAGCTATATTTTTTATATTTTTTACTATTTAAATTATTTTTAAATTTATTAAATCAACCAAATTATATCATGTAATTTTTTACATGGTTTAGTTTTTATTAACCTAGATGACTTATAAGTGCATGTCTAAAAAAACACTCACGGCTAATCGGATGCATCTAAAAAAAAACCATAATAAAATTCAAATAATTTTAGGGCTACCATCCCGCAGAAGTTATTATTATTTAAAAAAAAAATACACGTGGATGATACCATGGATGTGTCCTTAAGATTATTGGAAAAGAAAAAAATTAATCGTAATTCACACGCATACCAGTTCGAAAATATTTTTACTAGAAAAAAATCAAATAAATTTTAGGTGAAAGGCTATGTCCATCTACATGATTAAGAGGAGAATTAGCCTCCTGATCCAAAAAACAGAAGAGGTGGAGAATTAGCCAGCTTTGGATTTGAGTGACAATTCACTCCGTTCCCCGGGCAGATTTAGGTGGAATAATGTTTACTTGTAAATTAATAAAAATTAATAATTTCTTTTAAAAAACTACAATGTCATAAAATAAATTTATTTTAAAATTTAAAAGGGAAATCATAAGAACTTTAGATGTGCCTCAAGAATTTAGAGGAGAACTAGCTAGTTAACTTAGAGTTTTAGTGATAATCCAACACTAATTACAAGTCATTTTCATTGATATTCTTCAACATTGAGCAGTTGCCGGTTCAACCCTCTATTTTCTTTCTTAGCTATCCTTTTTTTTTCTATAGAATGGTGTATCCAGAATGTTTTTAGACGGATATATATATCGGTTTTATGACAAAGGTTTTATGATAAAAGCTATATAAATAATTTGGTATTGTGATAGTTTTTATTTGTTATTTAATTATAAAAAAAAATACATGTAGTTAGGTTGAGTTTGTTTTTATATTCAAAACATATTTTTAAAAATTTTAAATTATTTTGATGTGTTGATGTAGAAAATAAAATAAAAAATATTATTTTAATACATTTCCATAAAAAAAATCACTTTAAAAAATAATTATTATTACAATTACAAACACTATTTTAATCAAATAATTTTAAGCTCTTTGTGATGAACTCCATATATAATTGCATTTCAAACCTTAGTTTTGTAAAAGTTAAAATAACTCTTTTCTTTATTATTATTATACATGCAAAAATTTATCTTATAATAGTTTCAACTAAAACATATGTTTTTAATTTTTTTTAATTATAATTAAAAATATTTTTAATTTTTTAAAAATATAACCACAAAAGCTATTATAATACCAAATATTGGAAAGATTGAACCCATTTTCACACATTATAACTAAATTTAAGTATTGAGTCCAATCAAATCCCTTAAAAGACTTTAATAATATTTGAAATTTTAATTCAAAGACTTCAATAATATTTGAAATTCTGATAGCGATTGATTTTCAAAATATTTTTTATTTAAAAATATATTAAAATAATATTTTTTTTATTTTTAAAAATTTATTTTTGACATCAACATATCAAAAAGATTTATAATTAAAAAAATAATTTAAAACAAAAAAATTAAAATTTTCTAATAAGTTTTTTAAATACAAAAACAAACACACTTCTCATAAACAAACAACAATTTGCATGCCAGATCCAAACCACTCTTAACATGGTTTTTTTTGTCTTTAAAGAGAAAAACATAAAATAGATTTGAGTAGTTTAACACTTTTAAAAAAGAAATGAATAAAATAATATAGTATAAAAAATAACACAATTTAGAAAATTATAGATTGTGAGTTGCAAGTGTTATATGTGACTTTCTCAAATTCTAAAGATAAGCTTACATGATTTACAAAAAAAAAATAGGGAAAGTGGAGAGAGAAAAACAAGGAAAGAAAGAACAAAAAAACACTTGGAGACACTCCCAAACTCTGATGATGATATCATTAATATCATTCAAAAGATATTAACTAGACAAATTTGACAACATAAAAAACAAACACAAACGATTATCAAAATAGGTCACACGATTCGTTCAAGTTTACTAAGGCTTATTCATTTTCAAACAGCTTGTCTGATTCATTTTAGTCACAGTTGGTAATGTTGTTGGATTTTTTTTGTAAATACCTCTTTAAGGATATTATTATTATTGTCATCAAAGTTTTAGTATGTCTCTCAACTTCTTTTATTTTTATTTTTACCTTTTCCTCTCTCTTTCAATTTACAAGAGGAGAGAGAAAAAACAAAAAAAATCTTAAAGACATACTAAAGCTCTAGTGACCATATCATTTATACATTTAAAAAAATTTCAATAAAATAAATTCAACGACATCAAAAAAAATCATAAACGATAATCAGAGTAAATTACACAAGTTATTTGAAAACAAATAAATTTAGATACATTTAAATAGCTAGTGTGCCTCAATCTGGTTACATTGATGACTTTTCTTGATATCATTGAATTTATTTTGTCAATATCTTTTCAATAATATTAATTATATCTTCATTAAAATTTTAATGTATTTTTTTTTGTTTTTTTCTTTGTTTTTTTTCTCTTCATCCTCTCATTTTTCTTTTTAACAAGTTGTACCAGTGTATTTTTAGAATGAAAGAGAGTCAAATACCTTCAGCAACTCTTTAAAATATGCTAATTTTCTAAATATTTTATATAATGTTTTTTTTTAAGTGCTAAAGTAAAAGAAAAAACACAAATGGATTTATCCATTTTCTGATTAAACGACCACAATTGATGACATCATCAGTGGCTCACAGCGCTTCATCTATCTGTATTCTGTCCTTTGCCCTGTAAATAAAATTCCCAGCTATCTCCATCGCCTCTCTTTCCTTCCTTCGCAATTCACCCCAAAGGTAAGTTTCGTGTTGCTTTCACTCTCTTAATTTTCCATGTTATTAGTTCATTATCAGATCTGTCCTCTCTCTCTCGCTCTCGATCTCACTCACTCTTGATCAATCCGTTACAACTCCGTGAACTCAACTGCAATTCGACTTTTAATCTGTTTAGATCTGATATTTTCACTCTCAGTGCCGTTATTTATTTTTTGAATATTTGAGTTGCAGCATCTTCAAAAGCTGTGTGAGATTGTTGCTGCAAGAGAAGCAGAGAAGGCTGTGATCTTGAAGCCATGAATTCGAGGAGGTTAGTTGTATTCCGATTCCGATGTTTGATGCAATTTTGCTAGATATCTGATTTGATACTTATATTCATAGTAAATGTATTATTTATTTAGAATAGAGGACGATTTATTAGCCAAATTGTGTCTGTGCATGCTGTCCAGAAAAAAATAATTGTAGTAAAATAAGAAACGAGGAGCTGGGATTGAATGAGATGGATGAGTGCTTGAGGTTCCAGGTTATGTTGAGATAATTGTTTTGTGGAGTACTGGTGTGTGCTTCTTCATCAATTTACATACACGCGCTCGCACACACATATACATGCATACACATACACATGTATATGTATATACGGGAGAGCCGCATTACGAAGCAATACAGGACAATGATAATACATGAAAAGTATACGTGAGCAAAACTAAAAGAAGCGTAGCAATTCTATTCTTCACAAAATTCTAGAAATTCACTGCTCGCTTTTAGTAAGTTCGTAATGAATTGATTGAATGATCAGTTGAGCTTTTTTCTGCATGGATCCGCCTATTGGCCTTCTGTTGAATTACATAAACAGGAGCACTGAGCCAACCTTAGGACAGTAGCAGCAAAACCTCTTTTTGCATATTTCTCTTTGTGCAGTCCAGTTCAATAACCCAATCTCCAACAGGCCTGTCAAATACCACATACCAGTAAAATATTCCTACATACCTCTTTGATAGCATTACAAGTGAAAAACAACTGATCTCGGTTTTCTGGACTTTGATGACCCATATCATGGACATTCAAAATACTCCTTCCTGTTCTTAGCTGTCTAGTTTTGGTGGCGAGCCTGTTCAGTGAGGCTAACCATGCTATAAAGCTATGCCTTGGTATGTGCAAGCTACCCCATACTAATTTATACCAGTCTACTCTTGCTTGCTTCTCCCTGATGTGGTCCCATTAAGATTCCACACTACTGGAAGAGTTTAGCTGTCATGAAATACCGTCTTTATTGTTAGATCAAGGACAAATAACACCATAAATAGCATCCCGGATATTCACCATAGTATCTGATCTCGCACAAGGACAGTGTCAATTTTCTGGGAGTCAGGTGTTGTGTGCAGTAAAATTATTTCTGGTAAATTCTTGAAGATGGAACTGGTATTTTAGTTTGTTTGATAACTAGAATGTGGTGTTTTATTTTTTTTAAGTGGATTAGTCTGGGTTAGGAAAATCCTTTAAACTCAGATGAATGTTGTATTTTATTATCATCACAAACTCTGGTCACTTGGCAGTATAAATTTTAGTAACCCCTACCTCTCTTTCTAAGGTTATCCTCATTATTGGTATCTAGGTACTGGCCACTTTCTTTCATTCAGGGTTTACTTTATAAAACTAATTTATTCCTGCACATAACACCGCTGAGTGTACTGTTACAGAAAAGCCTTCAATGTTGTCTAATATGTAAAAGATTTAGTTCTAGATTATGCATTGAATTTGTTTTTGTTAGTGATGAAAAACCTTACTGGAACTCTGTTGAAACTTATGCTATGGAAAATGTTGGTCTGAGATGGTTTTCCATAAAATGGAAAATATCGGTGTGAGATGGTTTTCCATAAAATGAATTTTTGTAATGTGGACATGCAGATATAAAATCATTTTTGTAATGGGCTTTACATTATGTGCCCCATCACACACACAAAAAAAAATGATAAAACATGCACTGCAATTCTAGTCATTAATTTTCTGTTCCCCCCTTTTGCTTACCATAATTAATTTCTCCTTTTGATTTTTCTTTGTGATACAAGTCATTGTTCTTGAAAAAGCTATGCATTTCTTTTGGTTCCTGTATAACTGAAGACACATGTTACTAGTTAAGCCTGATACAATTTCCTTGCAACTTGATTGTGGAGACTGAAACATAACCTCATCTATCAACTGCCCTCCTAGTTTACATGAGTTACTCCTACTATTGGAGGAGGCTGCCCATATTTATTTGGCTAATGTGTTCGTGCCATAGTGGTATTACCTTGACATTCAGCATCATACTAGAAACCTTTTCTGCACAGGGACATCCGAAACAATAGAGCTGCTCTTTTTGATGGAATTGAGGAGGGTGGAATCAGAGCCTCACCCTCTTACTCCTCTCATGAGATTGATGAGCAAGATAATGAAAGAGCTTTGGAAGGATTGCAAGATAGAGTCATTCTGCTGAAGAGAGTGAGTTTTCTCAGCTGGTAAAGTAGGTTGTCAGTCAATTGATAGGAGTATCGCAATATTGTTATCTGGCTAATTTATGCTGCTTTCTGGATGTTGAGACCTGGAACACATGAGAGAGAAACAAGTGAAGGCTTTATCTCACTGTCTGTGGCTGCAAAGCTTCTCAGAATATTCCTGAATTCTCGTTTTTCTGGTTTTCAGGAATCTGAATGCAGTAATGATGAGAGTATGGCAATGCTATTATTAGGCTAATTTATGCTCTGCTTTTTCAATGTTGAGACCTAAGAACATGAGAGGGAAAAGAAGTGAGAGCCTTGTCCCACCAGTCCATGTAGTTGCAAAGCTTATCTGAATTTTCCTAAATTTGTTCTCTGGTTTCTCAGCAATCTGAACTCAGTAATTTTGAGTAATATTGCTAAAGATAAGATCTTAATGCCTTTTGATATCAAGCATAATTAGCCTTTCTTGAAAATCATCTTGTGTTTTCTAGGAAGAATGGTGTTATGATCTCTAAATTACATGTTAGCATGCCCTACCAATATGTTGAGCTTTTTATTCAGTTCAAATTTGAAATGGCTAGGTGTTAAAAGCTTGATCCAGTATCTGGAATTAAAATTTAAGCTGCAATTATTGTTGTGCTGGTAGAACTCGAATAATTTCATTTGTCCATGAACTACATTTCTTAAACATCCGAGCATATTTTAATGCATGTTAATTATGCAGCTGTCAGGTGATATAAATGAAGAGGTGGACAACCATAATCTTATGCTAGACAGAATGGTATACATACCGCAGCCTGAGCTTTCTTTTTTTATTCTGTTTTTGCTGTTATAATAATGTGATACTGTTTGCGTTAGGGCAATGATATGGATTCTTCCAGGGGAGTGCTGTCAGGAACCATGGATCGCTTTAAGATGGTATGTAAATTAGATGATTTCCCCCCCTCCATTTACTTCTCATAGTAATTGCAGATTCTACTTTTTTGGGTATCTTTCTTATACATGTTTTCTTGCTGAACACCTATCTTGTAATGGCCGACTGATGGCTAGTTTGTTTTACATAGGTATTTGAAACCAAATCAAGCCGTAGAATGTTTACACTCGTGGCATCATTTCTGGTCCTATTCCTAATTGTATACTATCTCACTAGGTAATATTCCTATGATGGATTTGGTATAGCTGTGGGCCTTATGTTAGAACCGGGATCACCCCATTTAACGTTTTTACTATAATCAATGTTCCTGCTTGTGATAGACTCACCCCGGCATGCTTTGTGTAAAGATGTTTCATGTCTTAAACGTGTGTTGAATTCATGGAATGGATGTAAAGTCTTTGCTCGTGTTTTTGTTTTCAGTTACATGAAATCAGCCTGTTGCTTAATCTTCTGAGGTAAAACACTTGACCGCAAATAATTATTTGAGGTGGTGTTACATATTGTGATAGAGATTGAGATTGTTTTTTAAAATGTATTTTGTTTTGAAATATATTAAAATAATTTTAGTTTTTTTTAAAAATTATTTTTAATATCAACATATTATCATAAAACACTAAAAAATAAAATACGAAAAATGAAAATCACGGTGGTGGTGCTGTACGGGTAGTTTGACTAACTGAACCAATTATGTTCAGCGGACATGTATTGGCATGTTCAAAGCAGCTTTTAAATCTTATTGCTCCGTTTCGAACCTCTCCCCTATCCTGTTGTCAACCTTTTTTAAGCTTTCATTAAAGCCAAAAATGGCAAAAATCACGACTCACGAAGCAGCAGGAAAGCAGCTGGACGCCATGGCAGCTGCACACCTCTAAAATGTAATTAAAAGCTAGGGGGACCGATGAGGTCTGTAATTTGGAGTCTGGTATTTGTCCCATGGTGGTGTTGTCGAAGAAATACATGACTATGTCATAATCAACAAAGATATCAATGCCGGAGATAAAAGAAACAAAAGATTTGTCTTTCCTTCCGTTATAAAACCAGGTGGACGGATTTCAAGCAATACCTCCCAGCTAATACGCCATGATCATTCCATGCTTGCGAAATTGTCTAATTATAATCTCAAAAGCAGGGACTTAGTGTTTGCTCAGCATTAATCAATGGAGAGAGGCATTTGGTTGCCTTTGGTGGCTATAATGGGAAATACAATAACGAGGTATGTGCTATAGTAACATTGGCGCTGGTTATGGTGCCTATATGCACCATCTTTCTCACTATAACCTGATTTCCTTGATTGACCTGTATTTTCTAGGTTTTTGTTATGAGACTTAAACCAAGTGATGCATCACGTCCAAAGATTTTTCAGTCACCAGCAGCAGCAGCAGCTGCAGCTTCTGTTACTTCTGCATATGCTTTAGCCAAATCTGAAAAGTTAGATTTCTCCAGCTTAAATCTGAACTCTAATGGAGTTGGAAACAATCCTTCTGAACTAGATTTAGCATTTGAAATTGATGCACTTAAAGAAGAGAAAAAGGTGCTGGAATCGTCCCTCACCGAAGTCAGAGCAGAAAATTCTAGGCTTACAGAAAAGGTTGATGAAGTTAATGGTACTCATGCAGAACTATCCAAGGTATGTTCTTGATGATTATTTTCTTGTACTAGGGAACACATTCTTTCATTAAGTGGTAATATATAGTTTTAGTAACAATTTCTCTTTGGTTTCTTTCTTTCTTTCTGTTTCTTCTCTTTTTTTGAAGGAACTCCATTCTGTTCAAGGTCAACTAGCTGCTGAGAGATCAAGATGCTTTAAACTTGAGGTGCTCCCCTCTCTCTCATCTTGTTCCCGCTATCCCTTTTTTTCTCCCTCTGCTAATCTTTTTATGTCATCTCGTGGTGATCTGACCGGTTTATTGCGTGGACCTTGATTCCCTTTTCTGGAATCTGGTTTACTATGGTTAATTGTAATTTCCAGGCTCAAATTGCTGAGTTACAGAAGATACTGGAATCATTGCAGTCCATAGAGAATGAAGTACAACTACTTCGAAGACAGAAATCTGCACTGGAGCAGGAGATAGAGCGTAGTGCAGCTCAAAGACAAGGTTCTGGAGGTGTCTGGCGCTGGATAGCTGGCTAAACTAGCAAATCATCGAACTGTTCAAGGCCAAAGCCTCAAAATTGTGCCAAAACTTTAGCAGCCATAGCCGTCTCAAGCTAATACAAATAGCCTCTGTGTATTTGGCCAATGGGTGCTGATCCTCGGCCACTGTTAGAGTTTTTTTGGGAGGTTTAAGTTAGAAACGGGTACAAGATATATAGTCTGTGCAGTCGCACTGTTGTTTTCTGTGAAACGGGTAATTGTTTGATTTTTTCCCCATCCCACACGACACTTGTTTTATTTGTTTCTGTAGAATTGAATTATTCTCTCCTGGTACATTACAAATTTCATTGGATATCATATAATAAACAAATATTTTTTATTTTATGAACTTATTTATTTTATGGAGAACAATATCATATAATTCTTTGGAAGGGAATTGATTCTTGTGATGCCTTTCTAAAACCAACGTGTTACTTGTTTCCCTTTCCGGTGGCAAGCAGTTCCATGTCATACTGCATGACTTTTCTCTGCAGGATCATTATGGTAGAGCATTCAAAGTGGTTTTTTTTTAAATATATCAAAATAATATTTTTTTTATTTTTAAAAATTTATTTATGATATCAACATATTAAAATGATAAAAAATTAATTTGAAGTAAAAAAAAAATAATTTTCTTGAAAAGCATGACCCTACCGCAACAACAAACAGTACTCTAATGTTAAAGGATGAAATTAAAAAAAATAAATTAAAAACCACCAGAGAAAAAACTTGGGTCAATCTGGGTTAAGTAGGCTATCCTATGATCTGCATCATGATATCACGATAAAAAATTAAATTGTTTAAAAAAACCTAGAAAAAAATTGAAGTTATATCAATTAAAAAAAAGTAAAATAAACCCAAGTAAACCTAGGTTAGCTCAGTGAACACGTGAACCATGATAGCCACACATAAAATAAAGTAAAAAAATCACAAATCTCAATGACTAGTAATCTAATGTAAAAAAATAAAATTAAAGAAAAAATTTAACAAAAATATTGAAAAAAATCAAGTCAACTTAGGTTAACTAACTTGTAACCCGTGACATGAGTTCAAGATAAAAAAACATATTTTTAAAAATGGACATAAAAAAAGACCGAAGTGAAATCATAAAAAAATGTAAAAAAAACCCAAGTCAATACATGTTAACTTCACCAACCCATGACCGTGGATAACCCTAGAGAAAGAAAAGTGAAAAAAATAACAAAGTTTAAGGCCCAATAATTTAATATCAAAAAGCAAATTTGAAAAAAAAAATCAATTTAAAAAATGATAAAAAAATAACTTGAGTAAACCCAAATTAACTCCATTATTCCATAACTAGGGATATGAGATTGAAATAATTCTATAAAAAAAATAATAATAAAACTTAAAGTCTAATATTCAATGATAAAATTAAAAAATAAATAAATAAAAATACCGATGTTAAGTTAAGATAATCTTATAAATTAATTATTCGAGACATGAGACCAATCCTTGTATAAAATCAAATAAAATAATTAGAAACTAAATTAGAAATAAATAAATAAATTATAAAATGGATAAAAAATTGCAATAAAAAAATGAGGATCAAAATTGAATAAAAATATTAAATTAAATAAAATGTTCATAGATGAAATTAAAACAAAAAAAATAAGAAAAGAATTTAAAAAATCAATTAATAGAATGATGATCTAATTGGATAAAAAAACAAATAAAATAAAATGTTTAGGGACAAAATCGAAAAAAACCTTTAAAAAATATTAAAAATAAAATAAATAACAATTAAAATAATAATAATCAAAATTAAAATAAACAACAACTCAAAGATGGATGTTATTACAAATAGTGACATTTGAATACCTCAAAATGCTTTACATACCATCTAAATAACATTGATGTCTTCCAGTTGACAATCGCTAGTAAATTTTTATTTTTTAATTATTTTCATATATGTTTAAAGATCTAATTATCTCTCACTTAAGTCGGTAATAACAAAAAAACTGCATTGAATAAACCCAATTGACCCTAACTATTAGTTTTGTCTTTTTAGAAATTTAATATTTAAGTCGGTAATAACAAAAAAATTGCATTGAATAAACTCAATTGACCCTAACTATTAGTTTTATTTTTTTAGAAATTTAATATTTGAAGGTTAAAAATACTAAAAAGCCCTTATACCCAACTTTAATTTTTTTAACTAAGGGTATGAAAGTTATTAAACAGTTTATGTAAAATGTAAAGGGACTTATTTAACCCTAATTAATATATAATAACAAATAAATCTCATTAAAAATATCTTTATACCCCTAAGACTGTTATTTGGGTTTTTAAAGCAAGGACAAAACAATATTTTTATTGCTTCAATCCGTAGCAAAGTGTGTCTTGGTGCATAATAAATAATTGATGCCTCTTCGTCTTTTTTGTTGTTGTAATTTTTGCGTATATAATCCATTATTATGCTGTTGTAATTAGTAATTTGTAAACTATCATTAATTACTCCAAAATTAGACACAAAACATGATAAGAAGATAAATAGTCCAATTATGAGAAGAAACAAGATGCTAGAATAAAAAGCTCATGGAGTTCATGATGTAATAGATTGCTTATTCATCCAATTTATCACACACACACACATATATAATTAGATTCAAAGACGAAATCAAATCTCTAAAAAAACAAAATACCTTTTCTTTTCTTTTTATATAATTAGATTCAAAGACGAAATCTCAAAAAAAAAAAAACAAAATACCTTTTCTTTTCTTTTTCCTGAGTAAATGATGAGATCAGAATTTTTATTAATAATTTAAAAGAGTTTACCCAAGCCAGCAATGGAATGGCAATATATACAACAAAATCACCTTAACAAAGGAAAATAGTGCACTGAAACACAAGAAGATATTTACCAACCTAGAGATATAGCAAATTAAATCAGATGATAATCAGAGAGCTTCAGTGAAACTGGCATGTAATAACTACAGTGAGAATATTTCCCAAAGGTTAATGAGACTAACGCGTAGGCATCTTTAACCATGGATTCAGAAGCTGGAAGACTGAAACCTTTGGGAATAAATTGCTTACTTCCATAGTAAGCATTTTTTATAAGAAAATAATAAATGCTTGTGGAATTTCTGCTCTAGTTCATGGCTTCATGCACAAGCATGCTTCCTACTTGGTCCAATCTCTCTAATTGGTGAAATAATTCTACACACACATATACATAGCTTACTCAATCATAAAGCAATCTATCTAGCCCTTGCATATATATGAAGAGGCACCTTTAAGCTCTCCAGAAAACCTTACTATTAATGCTAGCACCATAATATCTTCGTGATTTTCGAAACCGGGTTCTACTTATAATAATTTAGAATTAGTTAATTTTCGGCATGTGATAACCGGGTTCTACTTGTAATAATTTAGAATTAGTTAATTTTCGGCAACTTCACAATTTAACTAAAACATTTCTTAGTAAGTCTCTGGCAATGAATAAAGTAGCTAGGATAATAGGATAGCACTTCATATAAGGTGGGGTTATCCTTCTTAATTTCCAGTATTCCTTCCACCTTTGACGAAGCAATTAGGGTTTCTAGCAACTTTAACTTGCTATATTTATGTTAACTCTTGTCATGAATATTGGCAATATTTAATGGGAATTCATTGTAGGATGATAAGGAATAAAGCTTCATGAAATAATGCGAAAGTTTATTAAGTACTGTTTAAATATTACATCTTAAATTGATAACACATTTAAAGCAAAGAAATCTTACAGAACCCTAAATGAATCTAGGGTTATTGGATACTAAATGAAGGGTAGACAAAACCTCCTTCAACATCAGTAGTAACCTGCAATTGATGATCTTAGAATGAGCCAGTACTCCCCCTCATCCTTCTTTGAGGTACCAGAGAAGGAAAAACGTTCCTTCTCCCTAGCTCTACAAATGTCTTTCTAGGTACATCAATTGCCACAAACATACATTCCATAAATCTAGTACTTACTAAAGCAAACTAATTAAACATCATAAATGCTTTGCACTCGCTTGAAACATTGAAAAATCCACAGCTTTACAATAAAATAAACACACAGTAATTAAGTTGAAATACCTAGATAGAATATTATGGATCATGACCAAGTCTAAGCTCCAAATCCAAATCATCATCTGCTTCACTGCCGTCTTCTATTTTTTCTTTGGTATTATCATCTACATGGGATGGATCGATTTGCTGGCTTAGACTCCCTCTCCTAATATCTTCTCCGAATGGATACAAATGCTGTGGAGTTTGTGCATAGAAATCACCATTGTGTTGTTGTGCATATGGGGATCCCATACCCCATGTCGAGGATAACGGAAAAAATGTTTGGTAATTCGTATGTACCTCGTGAGTTGTAGGATAGTGAGGTGGGTAACTTTGAAGGGGAGGGTAGCCTCGAAAACTGGGAAAATCCTCATCAACTTTGCTTGAAAAGGAAGGAACTGAGCTAGGCCTTGACTTGGCTCTATCTTTCCTATGAATATTCATATGTCCTCCCAAAGCCTGAGCGGTAGTAAAGCCTCTCTTGCAAAAAACACACTCATAGGACCGGCCGGTGCCTGTATCTTGATAGGATCGATCAGTAATTTCTTCGTCGCTTGAGCTCTTCGAGTCTTCATCATGTTGGTTTGACGATTCCATGATATAGAAATTCTAAAAATTTCTCTAGAAATAGTGGGAACGCTTAGTGAGCAAGGAAGACGAAGGGTAGATGATGATATATTATAGAGAGGAAAAGGTTTAGGGGGGTGGGAGACAAGGGACAAATAAAGGACATAGGCATTGCCTAAGTGATGAATTCTAGTGAAGGTATTTTGAGAGAGAAAAGTCTTAGATTTTTGCTAGGAGATCGTTTCTGTTAGCCGGCTGCAGCTAGAGCTAGTGGATCCATCTTTTACAGGCACAGTTATTTTTTTAACTATGACTCTCCCTGAGCTGTCCCCTCATTACAGCTTTTGTAGCTTTCATCTATGTTGGCTTTGTTAACGCGGCCATAATTTTGTCATTTCTGCACACATAGCATAGCATAGCGTAGCGTAGCATATTATATACACATATATTTGCAAATCTATATGCTTTTCTAACACTTGTTAATCTATTCACATTGGGGCACAAATTTCTTCCGGGGCCTGCCGACCATCAAAGGCAATTTGTCACATCTAATATGTTACGTACCGATCAAAGGAGGGAACATTTGATTTCTCGAATAAATCAAAACGATATCTGTTTATCGATCGAGAGCATAAACATACATGCAAAAAGTTAGAAGTCCATCGAGGTGACTACATCACCAATTATTAAGTTCTTTTGGATAGTCACTTCAGTTAATTTCTTGCATTATACTTGATCTTGCCAAAGAAATATATATTCAACTAGCTAGTTACATATATAGCTACGAGACTTGATTGGAGCTAATCCGGTCCTTGAACAGAGTATGGAATTGATTTAATTAACTCTTAAAAATTTAAAATAAACATCTTAAGATGATATCATTTCAACTTTTATAATTAATTAGCGCTAAAGAGCGAGATTGAAGGAGCTTTGTGGTGCCTGGTAGCTCGTGAAAGCAAGCCAGTTTCCGCATTGATTGATTTGACTAAAGGGCGAAACATATTCTCTGAGATTTCAGGCGCCATACTGATGATGTTTTTTCACGGTGGTCAAGTCAACCATTATTTACATTGCCTGGTCTCAAAATAGTCGCTGGGCAAGCATAACACAAGCAAAAGGTTTTCTTTTTGCCAGAACAAGATGTATAGTCTTTGAACCCAGCCTATGCTACACGACTGAACTTGCATTTCACACATTGCAGAGGAAAGATGTAGGAAACTTCCTAGAAGAATATATGATGAACAAGAACAGTGTACTTTTGTAGTTTACACTTTGTCTTTAAGCATCGGCCATAGGCCCATAACTAATGGAAAACACATCACCTTTATGTCACCACACAGTCAACATCACATCAATATGATAACCCCTGTTGAGCTATTCAAAATCATAAATTTCATAGAATTGAAGTTTTGGTAATCATCAGCTGCCTTTGCATTTTGTATTTTATAAGTATTTTTTAAAAAAATTAATTTTTTTATTTTTCAAATTAATATTTTTTAATATTTTTAAATCATTTTAATATTCTAGTCTTAAAAATAATTTTTTTAAAAATAAAAAAAATATTATTTTAATAATTTTTAAATAAAAAATATTTTAAAAAATAATCACAAAATAAACTTTTAAAATAAACTAATTTTAAGAGGATAATTGGTAGTCACGGCGGTGCTTACCATGAAATTATGCCACGGCTATAACGAATCATGGGTGTATACAATATGAATTAATTACTTGTGCATGAAGAATGCTCCAAAAAGTCTTGGCTTTTACTTGGAGTTGATAGCATATGCAGGCCGAAACGTTTTCTTTAACTTTTTCTTCTTATTATTTTAAATCTAGAGGTAAATATTGTAGTTTGCTTGGAAAATGGCAGCACTGAGATTGGTGGGACGTATACCGCCTGATCGTTAAATAAAACAACATCATACACCAGTCTTGATAATATGAATTTCACAGGTGGTAGAAAGGGAATTATCATGTATATACTTCAAAAACACTTCTACATCAACTTGTATATGAAATGATTGATTTTTCTTATGGATTAATTAGCATGCGAGGCGCCCCTTTTGGCCACCAGTGAGGAAAATGGCATTGGCACCTAAAAAACTAAGAACAACATGTCATTTCAATGACTAGATGGACAAAACATCCCACTCAAAGTCTCCTTTTAAATTGGCAAGGAGCAAGATGGGATTTGTAATCTTCTCTTGAAAAAGGATCCAATCGAACGTTTGATTTTCCTTTGCCTGATGTATGGGCGACGTCAAAAAGGAAAATGGTGGTTCAAAAGGCCAGAAACAGACATAACACTTAAAGCTGGTTATGGTATTGGTACGAGAAATGAGGTTGCTGTTGATTAGGGCATTGAACTTGACTAAGTCTATAGTCTATGCCAAGAAAAATGCAAGAGGAAGAGTTTGGGCAGTAAAGACATGGACTGTATCATGGACGACAACTACGTGAGTGCTGCCACTACTACTGTTTCTCTACCAAATCACCCGTCTTTTTTAGTTCCATCCATTGGAAGATGTAACCATGAGAATAAGAATTTTGGAACTTTGCGAATGTTGCTTGTGAGACCAAGTGTGATGCTGAGAATTCAAATGAATTAATGCTTTAATTTATCGTTGTTATTCTACCATAAAAATTAAAAATAAAAAACTTTAGAAGGCAGCCTTTTATTCCCTTTCTCCTCAACTCGTTAATTTCAAGACAAGATCCAAGCACATAAAATCTGACATTTTTATTTGGAAATTACACGAATTTGGTCGGAATTTGTAGATGGGAGGAGCTATTTTTTTTTTTCTTTCAAAACTCGTGAGAATACATGTTCAATATTGACAATAGCAAGCCAACCACTCTATATGGAAAAATTCAAATAAAACTCTTAGATCTACTTAAGAAAATAACTAAAAAATAATTCAAAATTCAAAAATAACATCTCCTAAATCTCATTTAAAAGTTTTTCCAATCTCAGCCTGTTTAAGAGAGAGAAACAAAGTATACAGAATCTCTCAGTAAAATTTATAAATCTCCCAATAAAATTTATAATTAAGTTATTAAAATTTCACCCCAATTCAACTATTAATAAAAATAGTCTTTTTTTTTTAAGTGAGTAAATATTGATTTTTAAAATGTTTTTTTTCTTGAAAATATATCAAAATAATATATTTTTTAAATTTTATTTGTAATATTAACACATGAAAATGATATAAAAATACAAATAAAATTAATTTAAAATTTAAAAAATCAAATTTTAATTAAAAACATCATCCAACCTGAGGAACTGGATGAGATCGAGAGCCTGTAGATACACACAGTGACATGGAATGTTTTGCGCGTAGAAAAGCAAGAAAGGAAAATCAAAGCATTCATCATTCATGAATTGAAATTAATGGAAACAGGAGCTTGGACAGTAATCTACGTGCCGCCCCACAGGGTCAAACTCGTAGATGCAAATCCAGACGGTCAATCAGATTGAAGAATGGGCCTCTGGTCAATCATCTTGAATTGTAAAACCATTTTCAATTTTTCTAAACAGACAGCTTTTCTGGAATCTAAATTAAAGTAAACTTCAATTGTTCAAAGGGGAGCAGTAATCTTTTAATATTGAAGAAAGCCGCCCTTCTCTATCATGCAAATATGTAAAATGGACAAGGTCATTGAACTTACAATTCTATATTTTACAGTTAAATAGTATAATCGGATGATCGTTGTGTTCGATCGGCTTTATTTTTTAGATTAATTTTTATATAAAAATGCATTAAATTAATATTTTTTAAAATGTTTTTTAGATGGATTTAATGTGCTGATATCAAGAATAAAAAAATAAAAAATATATTTTTAATTTTAAATTATTATACTCCACATTATCCAACAACACACTCTTGATTAAATTTATTTTTGAAATTAAATCATTTGTGATGGGAATTTATGAATATCTTACTTCTTATAGGAAGCTTGAATCATAATGGTCAAGGACGGAACACCATTAAAAAAACTCATCTTACTAATTGTTGATGCAAGACATTAGATCAACATTACATTTTGATGACGGAAGTGAAGCTGCAAAGAAGAAAGGTAGAAGATGAAGAGTGGAGTGGAAAAACTAGTGGGGCCAAGGCCTAGCTGATTTGGTATCTTGGGCCATTCTAAATAAGACTATGAATGGACCTTGCCCATCTTTTCTTGTCTGGAAATTAGCAGCAGAACTACGAGGCGTGAGTTTCGGGTTTCGGCTGAGATTATTTTTTAAAATATTTGTTTTAAAACAATAATAAGATAATAATTTTTTTAAAATTTATATTTAGGATCAACATATAAAAATGATTTAAAAATATAAAAAAAAATAAAAAAATTCAAATTTTTTCAAAAATATTTTTGAAATGCAAAAAACAAACACTCTAAATATATTTAATTTTTATTTTCTTAATAGTATTACGTAAAGCTAAAAGAAATCATTGTTTTACTGTATAATTTGTAAGGTGAAACTACTAATTTACCTTTTGAGATAAATTTCATTAAGCTAGGTCTTAGGGTTGGAAAATCTTTTTCATAGATACATTGTTCACTATGAGAATTGAGAACTTTACATTGTTATTCTTTCATGTTTGTCTCATGTTGTGTTTTAGCTTTATAATATGTATCATAAGTTCTAAAAGTTTTTTCATCTTTTAAATTTAGTTATTATTTTTTTTATTACTACTTTTTTTTTTACAATTTACCTTGTAAGATTTTGTTATATTGATTTTGGTTGCATATTTGATATGTTAACTAGAATTGATTTAAGTTATTATTCATTTATTTTTTATAAGATTATTTCAATCTCATAACTTGGATCACAGATTTGGCAGAATAACTCAAGTTAAGCTTTTTTTTTAATTAATATTTTTTTATTTTTTTATTTAATATTAGATTGATTGAGAATGAGTTTTATAATTTGTTTTGATTTATTTCATATAAAGTTATCATAATCTCATGATCTAGATTGAGAATTTAATAGATTAACCTGGATTAATTTAAATCAATTCAATAAATTATTGTTTCAATATTATTTTTTAAAAAAATGCTATCTTAAATTTCTATGAATCAAACTATATTTTTATTTGTTATCTGAGTTATCTTTGAACCCATTAAACTGTTTAATCATGTTACATCAGATCAATTTTCATATAATTAATTTTTGATTGCTAAAAAAAATATTAACAATAATTAAATATTTTTTTTACATGTTAAAAAAAATTGATTTAGTCTGTGGTATAATGCATGCCAATCATCTAGTTACAACTCTACAAAGCCTCTAGAAAGCCTCATTGATACCTTAGACTTGATCCGGACAAGTTTTAATTAAATTTGAGTATAGAATAGA